GATTATTTATCCATTCAAGCAACATCAGTTGCATCTGAACGAGCCTTTTCTATTTCAGGTTTAGCAATAACCAAAACTAGAAATAGGCTAGATCCGAAAACAGCAAGAGCGACTATTTGTATGAAATATTGGGTTTCTAATGATTTAGGAAAAACGTGTGAAAAAGAATAAAAATTTATTCTATTCTTAACAATTAATATAATAATAAAAATAAACATTTATTTTGGGTAATCAATAAATTCAATAAATTCGGCTTTTGATACTTTTTTTTTGTAATGCTATTAAGATCGGGTTATAAGACCGGTCTAAAAAGATCGGTCTATAAGATCGTCATTGATGATGATCCAGATGGATGGATCGTTAACAACCCATACAAAAAAAATAACGAATCCACCTTCTTGCTGTATGCTCAAAATTTCATCTTTGCTGGTGTATCTAGGACCTGTAAACCCTTTGGTCGATAACTTGCTGAAGGTCGGGAATCTGGAATAGTTGTGCGACGTATTTCAAAGATATGAAAAAATAGTGAGAGGAGTGTTGTTACCACGCCGTGGAGCTTCCCACTTGCTATCGCATAACGACCCAGGGTCCACCACTGTTGCTGGAAATGAGACGGTCTCGCTGGCGGACGATATTAAAAAATATGATACAGAAAAACTTATCGAATTTTTGTGTGGGGAGAAGGACTTGGGACTTGATGACGATGACTTGGAAACAATTCGCAAACAGAAGCTTAAAGGTCGTACCTTCCTCAAAATAACTAAAGAAGAACTTCAAGGTATTGGGTTGACATTAGGACCTGCGAAAGATCTTGCGGACTTCGCTAAGGAGTGTAAGGAGAAAAAGAAGCGTGCGTTTTCCTCATACCGCAGTTTGGAGGCAGTGTTAGAAAAATACGGAATTAAAAGTAGTAGTATAACGAGCATCCCCCAGTTCACACCAGGTAAGTTATGCTCATGCCAACCTTTTTTCATTACGAATACCAATTCACGTATTCTCCATTTATAGTCTCCCACCCAATCGATGAAAAATCTCCAGAGTTCAGCTCTGCATAGATGACATTCTTCGTAGGATAAAAAATATGGGGCCAGTCGTAGATAGTAATGAGGCTATGCGTTGCGAATACATTTCTACAATCCTTCATACTGCTGTCAGCATCCTCGGAGGATTGATAATCTTGCCTCAGATGAATGTCTGGTGAAGAAAGAAAGTACTGGCCGTGTTGATTATGCGATCAAAAAAAAACTGGATGATTTGCTCGAAGAAATAATATGCATAACCGAAGGAAAGCAAAATCAGGTGTGTCACAAAATTTAATGCAATGTCGAAGTTCATGCGAAGCAAGTACTGTAACATGTTTAGCCTCCATTCGACTATCAGAATATACTAACTAATCGTCATCTGTAAACCTATCCCGGATTGGTATTTCATTCTACATAGCACCGAGGCTATCTATTGCACGAGTAAGTCCGAATACCGAATCTCACTTACTGAAGACGCCCTCGATGATGATACAGACTTGCGCAAGAATGTGAAGAGAATTTTAGAGGTGATAGTAGGTTTGTTAAAAGATAGGGTATCTGTCAGCGATGAACCATCACCTAAGAGGCGTCGTGTGCAAGAAAAAATCAAGAAAAAATAGCCTGCAATCATTAACATAGAAACGTCATGTTAACACGTCATATAACCACATAAGATAATTCGAACTAATCAATAGTGTTTAGTTATAAAAATACTAAATTTGTATCCGTTTTATTTCAGAAAAAAAAATATATATATATATAAAATTTATATAATCTGAAAATTTTGCTACAGTAAACTATATCAATTTCGGGAATTCATAACTAAGGAATATTAAAATTTCTTTATACCCGATCTAGTCCAATATATGGTGCAATATTTTAATATAAGTTCAATTTGTTTAATGGCCAGTTAGTAAAAACTTTGTCTTTTCAGATTGCTGATTCTTCAAGTACTCCCAAAATAGTTTCCGCCTTCTTCTTTATTTTTTCATAATCAAGCTCATAATTATCTTCTGGCGTCACTTCATCTCTTCCTTCAAACGATAGTGGAATGTAACTTTCAGCCAATTCAAAAAAATCTGCAATTTGGTCATATACTTCATTACTATAACGGTTTTTATCATCCAAGTAAACTTTTACAAATCGTTTAAGTAAATCGTCTCTTTCCCCTTCCGAGTTGGCAATTTCATCAAGGATATTTTCATATACCGTAAGTACAACTGCACGTAATTTGAATGGTGGTTTCGTTACATAGTCATATTGAGCATTACTTAGTTTCCATCCGGACCATAATTGATAATCTTTATCTCCTCCACGATAAATTATGACACATTGATGAGAAGCAGAATCAACTATAAAATATGCATCTTGATTCTTATATCTTCCACTAAAAACATTGCTTATGTTTCTGTGAATAAACTCTTGAAGGGTTCTCTGGAGTTTCTCCTTGTTTTGACTATTCCAATGGTCATTTTCGGTAAATTCCCAATGATCTTTATGTCTATCAAAAATATGTTGTAATCCTTTAAGTGTATAATTAACCCGATTTTCATCAAAGTATACAAATACATGATTGTATACATTAGCATATGTATAAGTTTGGTATTCTCCGTAAGCTTCATAGGTGTTTAGCCTGATCTGATTCATTCCAGAAACGGTTCCAATGTAGTGATTGCCGGAATATACATATCGACCATCAGGAAGAGTCGATCTTTCGCTATTATTACTTATATAGAACCAGTGCCCATTAAGCCATTCTTTATTTGATTTGCTACCGTCTTCATACAATCCAATCCAGTCCCATGTGGATGGTGTAATTATTGACCAAGCAAATTCTAATTTTCCAGAGTTTATTATACACCTTAAGTAACAAATTTCTCTTTCTTCGGTTTGCGACATTACGTTTGTTTCTTCAGAGAAAAAAAAATAAGCTCAATTGATTATACCAGATCGCATGTCTTTATATAGATAATTTTGTTCCTAAAGTAGCCCCTTTTATATCACAATGTTAAATTCCTGTTTAAAGCGAACAATGATACTATTTACTATTTATTTATTTATTACACAAAGGTGATAAAATACAAGCAAGAGAAAGTCCCTTATTATGATGTTAATCTTCTGTTTAAAGCAGACAATAATACTATAGATACGCAGTAAGTACGCAGTATATTCATTCCGGGGGTTGATCATCAATCATGTGTAAGAATCGATCACAAATAAAAAAAGGGAGAGAGCGAAGCCTTTTGTTAATTTAAATCATTAATGTTGTGGTAGATCATGTCTTTATTAGTGACGTATATACAGTATATTAGTTCCCCAGCTAGTAAGAGGGCTAGAATTAAAAAAATTATCAAAAAATAATATGCATTGCAGGCTCAGTTCCTGACCTTTGTATTTATTTTTTTGTATGTATTAATAAAAAAATTTCTTGATAAAATTTCGCTTATGATGAAAAAATGGAAATCGTTATTTCTAATAAAATCCAAAAAATTAAGGAGTTCGTTTAGCATCCAAAAGTTTCGATCTCCTATATAAGTAATTGCGTTACAGGCATAATCTGCCAGGAAATTATCTATTCAGTAATTATTAAGATCCTAACCTTTTACAGGATCAGCTAACGCATCTAAGAGTGCATTATGTATTTTTGTTCCAAATGCCTCAGAACTGGAGAATACATTGAATAATCCATTTTTTTCTTCCTCAGATATATTTGGAAAACGTCTGGTAAATTCCATAAGTACAATGTTCTGATGGCGAGCTTTCCGGGCTTGTTCAAAGCATCTTACCAAAATGTCTTTTATAATTCCATCTGGTATATGTTTTTCTAGAATCCCAATAATTGTTCTGATCATCATCACTATCTTCTTCATCAATGTCAGATTCGTTATTGTCATTATTATCCATATTGATGGGCGAGACTTCATTATCTAATAATCCCAAAGCCTTCAAGAATTTATATACCTCAATCTTATCACCAGCTCATATAGTCATCATAGGACTGCAATTGTAAAGCGTTTCAATCAGACACTTTCAAAAATTCTATATAAGATTCAGTATGCTATTGAGTCTATATCTTCTGATTCAAGACAAATAAGAGCATGGGTTAGGCATTTGCCGAAAGCTATCAATTATCTGAATAACTATCCTACATGTCTCATTTCAAAATGTTGATTGGTGCCTTCTGTGGCAATTATCTGAATAACTATCCTACATGTCTCATTTCAAAATGTTGATTGGTGCCTTCTGTGGCTATTTATTAGAGAAGATTGAGTTTAGACCATCTATAAAATCCAAGTGTCCTGTCAGAGAGAATGAAGAAACCTTAAAGAAAAGTGATACTATTCGCTATCTTCTTGCTAATGCGAAATGGGAAGGGACATAGAAAATCAGAGACGCATAACTGATCCTAAATGGTCGCCAAGTCTTCATAAAGTCTGAAAAAATAGTAGTATCTAAAAATGAACCTGTGCTTTATTATGTCGATAACAAAGAATATACTCTAAAATGAGAATTTGTAAGAGAGGAATTGATGTTAATATTTGATTCAGAAAAAGTTGGGTACCCATCCCAAAGCATATTATCTGTGTATTTAGTTCATGCTTCTCCTAATAATAATAAAATAGTTCAGGCTTTAAAATATGCCAAGAAGCGTAATAGTCAATGTTTAGGAAAGTTTAAAGAAATAAATGAACATAATGTATATCTTTGATCTTGTGAGGATGTTGCATATTAATAGAAATATCCATTAAAATACATCATAAAGAAATTTGAGTGGTCATGATGCCCTCCTTGTCATCATACTACTGAAAGAAATATACAATATATTTTTGAGAACCTGCTAGACAAAAAATTCTTATCCTATAGAACATCATTTTTAAATAGAATGCAACTCAATAGGTATAACGAAGAATTACAACTAGCATTTGAATTTTATGGTCGGTAACATTATATTCTTAATTCAATGTTTCATAAGAGAGGGGATATAGATTTGAAGGAACAAAAATCATGAGATCAGAAGAAGCAGGATATATGTAAGGAGCAAGATATATATGTCTTATAGAAGTGCTGTATACATGTGACCTTTTCCCTTATATTAAGCATACGCTAATTGAGAAAAAATTCTTGAATAATTCCCAAAGTTAAGTCTCAAAACGACAGCCCATCTGAAAATTTTATAATATATTTTAAAGTATAATATTAAGCAATATGAAACATCATAAGAAACATCAAGTCAGAAAAGCTTGATCCCGCAAATAGAATCATTCCCCATATTGATGAGATAAAAGATTCAACAGATTAAACTTAACTCCCCAGTGACCCTTTACAGTATTAATTTCTGATCATATCAATTCAGGAAAAACTAATGAAGTTGTGAACCTATTATTGGGAAACAAGCTTTATCGAATGTTTAAAGGTAAAAAAGAAGGAACATGATATATTAAAAATGATGATCTTCTTTTAATAGGTACTCATCTCAAAGAGTTGAAATACTTGTATCTCAAATCTAGTTATCAGATAATTGCAAATAGCCCAAAACCATATCGTGAAAATATCACATTTCAAGCAATAAAATCTGATAAAATCCTAAAGCTGAATTCATTCTCTTTAGAAAGAGATACAGTGGTCATATTCGAAGATGTATGTGCTGATTCAAAGAAAGTTCAGGAGAAAATTGTTCCTTATTTTACTAAAGGGTATCACAAAAATATTAGCAGTATGTACATCATACAGAGCTTTTTTGACTATCTGAAATTGATAAGAAAAAACTTAAATTATGTTGTACTTTTTAATGGGTATACTTCAGAAGAATTAAGCAGAATTTTCTGCCTATATGCTTATGATTGGCCTAGTATATATGAAGATGTCATTAACTATTTATCTGATCACAATTTTATTGTCTTTGATTTAACAATACCTCCAAATCATTCTAATAGAATACGAGCTGGATGGGATAAAATTTTTGAAAAAAATGTTCAAGCTAGTAAGTAGAAATTCTTTTAGCTTAGCGCTTTCTCAAAGGAATTAATAAAATAAGATGAAATGTATATTTTTTCTGGGCTTCTGAATTATATTCAGATCACTACGCCTCTTTGCCCATAATTTCCTTTTATAAGTGTTGGAATTAAAGATGGGAACTGTAACTAATATGTTGCAACTTTTAATGTTGCAACTTACGTTACAATTGGTTTTAACCTATATATGTTGCAACTTATAATGTTACAACATATGTTGCAACTAATTTTAGCTTACGTTGCAACATTTTGTAAATTTGAAATCAATTGCTGTACCATCTTTAGTTGGAATATATTTCCAATTCTATAGTTATATCACTATATTTTGTGTAGGAAGAGATCTAATCAACCAAAGTGATAATTTTTCTATCTTTAGCGAAAATAATATCCTTCAGATATCAGCATTTGTCCTCTAGCATATCAATAGACTTTTTAGCTGATGCAATGGTTTTTTTCGTATCAGAAATTATACTTTTTAAAAAGGATACCAAATTTGATAATTGGGTGACTTTCCCACCACTCTCTTCCAAAGACCTGATCATAACTACTTCACGAGACTTATACTACTCTTGCAAATCAAGAAGCTCTTCGATCTTTTTTTTAATACCTGCTTTGATATATATAACTTCTCATTTTTTTGCCTTAACGAAGTTTTACAGTCACTAGTAATAGGCTTCATCTTCTGATGCTCTTTTTTCTTAATATAATTTTCAACTGCTTTATTTGACAAATCTTCCACTTCAGAGTGAATACTACTTGCCTGTTCTAGCGATAATGGATGTTTTCAAGATGTAAATCATCACTATATATCTATTTTAATAGATTGAGAAAGCTGGTTAAGTTGCTTCAAGTAATATATGTGAAAAGATGGTGTTAGTATGACAGTCATTTCTTATAGATAATAAAAAATTCTAAGAATTAAAAATTTCTGCATATTTGGGAAAGGGAATTTAAAGAATTTGTTCTTTAATTAAAGATCTTCAGAAGAAAATGTTTTGATTATTTTGGCAAATTTTCAGAAAACCTCTTAATATTGTTAAAGGGTTTTATATTATGTGATAAATTAGAATTATCAGGATATCTGTTAACGGGTTTTAACAAGAAAAAATTTCACCTAGCAGTTGACTTATCTTCCGCAGTACCAAAAGTATAAGGGGAAATTCAAAGAATTTAAAAAATAAATTCACGCATCAGTTTCATGACACTAATCTGGCAGATTGGCTAGAAATATTAGCTCTGATCAAGAATTTCACGTGACATTTGAACATTGGTCATAAACTTTTGCCAAAAAAATCATGTGATTATGTCCGTTCCAATTTGGAACACAGATCGCTTTTGCCAAGAAAATTTTATTATCTGATATATAGGAAGCAGTCAATAAAAAAGGGGAAAATCCAAAATTTTTGTATTTTAATTATTAAGCTAATTTTGTGCATATAATCGAGATCAGCCAAGTAGTCTAATAATATAAATTTTAACCAAAATTTGAATTTTCACTTTTTCTACTGACCACCTCCCATAGGTCACATATAAAAACCATTTTTTCAGAAACAATAAGCAAAAAATATAAATATATATTTGCGAAATCGACTGCTAGGGTCATTTTATTGATACATAATAAAATACATAAAAAAATATTAAGGAATTCTAGTTATCTCACATAGGTGAAGAAATTGTAGAGTTTTTTTCTACATTATGATTTGATCTTTTTAATGGTGTATTATATAGTATGCTCATATTAATGATCAGAATATTTTGTAATATCAGTAATATTTCTACGAATTTTTCTATAATGGATAATCTGATAATTGAACTGGAATTTCTAATTCATGAAGATGATAATATCGATGAATTTCACTCATATCTCTTATAAGAACGCTCAAACATAATATTTTTTTAGCTATTTGTACTCTAATAATACCAAATTCATCCTTATCAGGCTTACAACATTTACAAGTCCAGTATATCTTATCATTAATCTCACGCCATAACTTCACTTGATCATCTCTTTCTTTTTTCATCGTACATGATAAGTATGAACATTCAGTAAATAAAAGTTTGTAATTTTTTCTATTGTATTTCATTACAAATATAACATCTGACCGTCTTCCAGATTGTCCATCACCTTTTCTATCCGCACTAGCATTACTTTAGTGTTCAGAACTGCTAATGGATGTGCTTTTTTCTAAAGAAAGATTCTTCATTGTTGCTCAGAAGACCGGTACTATCACATTGATTATGTAAGTATCTTCATTTAGAAAATTCACAAAATTTGTTTCAAATGCTGGATTATTCTAAGAATTGCTTCTAATATCCATAAAAAGACATAAGCAGTGAGCAGGAAATAACTAGATTTTACAAAATATTATAAAAAATACCTAAAATATGTCCAAAATTCTCTCTGCAACTATTTCAAGCTCATTCTCTATTTCCTTTCATGTTCTATCATGTATAAGTTTTCTTGGAAAATCAATTTCACGATTCTTAATGAAAGTAGTAACAAATTTATTACATCTTCTTTTTACTGCAAACGGGAGAGATGAAGGTATCATTTGTTATGCTAGTTTCATAAAAGTATACTTAAATTGCCCTGGTAGATTTTGTATAATTTCTGATTTGTCAGAAATTACCTGACTAGCTAGAGGGTTCTTTCATAATAATTCAGTAATATTTATATTATCTATACTAAAGTATAGATACTGGTTAATCAGCATTGTTGTATTTTTCTTGAATTTGGCCTTCAACTTATTTATATTTTTCTTTATTTCATCTGTATTTAAAGATATTTCTTTATTTATTTTGACTGCTCCTATGTCACGCAAACTGTAGACTCCTTTAAAAGCAGTTTCAAACTAATATAATAGATAATGCATTAATTTCAGCAATACAAGA